GGGGTCCTTACACCAGGCATCCCATCGCTTCCAGGCCAGCTCAGGATGGGAAGAGATCAGAGGAGAGTGTGCTCGCTTTTAGAGAGACAGACTGGGGCTTTGCTCGGATGGGAGCTGGTCTGTCTTGTCATACTTCATACTTACAGAGGGGATTTAACAGTGGCTTAATAAATTCATGCACTGTTACTGGCTAACTATCACCTTGTGAGAAGAGACAAGTGATAGATCGTGAATTCTGGCAGTGAAGTGGGGGCTTGGGGATGCATGTGGGAACCCTCCCCCCAAATAAAATTCTTCCATTTGGGTCCTGATGGAAAAATTTGTGGTGACTTTATTTGCTTAATGCTTGTCAGGATTGTCTGTTTTATGTAGGTATGTATTTTGTGGGGATACACCATGCGGCTTGTGAGATCTTAGTTCCCCAAGCAGGGCTTGAACTCATGCCACTGCAGTGAAAGCGCCGAGCCCTAACCACTGGACAGCCAGAGAATTCCCATTTACTTTTAAAAAGAACACAGTTCATTGTCTTGCTGATACATCTTACTGTAACTGGCCAGGTAGGTATCACTTGGTGGATTTTGGTTTTTTTTTTAGTTCTGGAGGCTAGATTTGAAGGCCCTCACACCCCACGTAATTTCCAGCTAGAGGAGTTCTGAGTCTGTTTTTCAGCATGAATGAAGGCTTGTGGGGAAGGTCAGAGAGTGAAGGTTCAGCAGGAAGATTTCCTCTTGGAGCGTGAGGACTCCCGTGTTAGGGAACACTGGCTGTGCTTTCTGTGTCTGCCCCTGGGGAGTGGTGAGCTGTATTTGTTCCAGTTCTTTCTCTCTAGACAACAACTTTGTTTACTTCCTTTATAGCCCTTTAGCACATTAGACTGGAAAAGGGGCCTGGAGACCCCCTCCCTGCCCCCCACCCGCCTGCAGCGCCCACTGTGTCCGTGGCTGGACTGACTGGGCTCCCAGGCTTTGCCGCTGCTCGGCTGCCTTCCCTGCATCTGATCCTTGCGTGTTAGTCTCAGCTGGCCTCTGGTTGTCGCCGTGGTGGCTGTGCCCATTATAGATGTTCGTGCATGCCACTGCAGTTGTGAGCACCGGGCCAAGGGCAGGTTCATCCCAGGACCTGCACAGACTAGCCCAGACCACCAAGGGGGATATGTGTTCAGAGAATAGACCAAATGACTTTATTTTGGTGCTGGTGCCTTAGTGGGCCCCCCTGAATGTGAGTGCCTGTCCTCCACCCCCACTGCTATATTCACTGGTGCTTGCTCAGAGGAGAGCGGGCAGCGCCCAGGTTGTCTGGGGTGCATGGTGCCAAGTGGGTGAGGAGCCTGAAAATACCCTTCTTCCCTGTATTGTTCCTCAGCAAGGTCCCCAAAACCCATGTAAGAACCAGCAGGGTGAAGCGGGCTGGGGTGAGGGCTCTATTACTTGTAGCTGAAATTGTGATGAGGATAAGATTTAAAACTTGTAGTTAATGTACTTCCGGGGCTTTTGATTTTGTTTACCTAAGATTCTGATGAAAATGCCTGCTGGTGTAGCTGAGTGCCTGGTGCCTGTGCATTCCTGCAGGGGTTTTGCACCAACATTCAGGATAGCTGAATTCTGAGTCACGTTGGGGTTCTGGTGTATTAGAAGTAGGATTTATGAGAGCCTGTTTTTGAAAATCGGAAGGTGAACACAGTTCTGGAAAGGTATTTCCTCTGGCAGTTGTCCGCCTTCCCATCCCTGCTCCTTGAGGGTAGACATTCCTTTGTCAAAAAATACCTGGTATTGACTAAGGTTCGAACGTTTCACGTTGTACGCAGCAGAGCGGCATGTGGGGAGGTTTGGGGGCAGTGGTCCCTGCACATTAGATGAACAGTCCTCAAGGGGGCTGGTGTGGGCTGCGATTTTGAAATATGCATCCACCTGTGAATCTGTTCACGAGCCCAGACTGTTTACGAACAGCATCTATTAACGTGAGAAGAGGCAGTATTGCCCCACAGTAGTGGGAAGGTATATTTCTGTGATGTCATTTCCATGTGGATGGAACCTGCCTTTCCAGGGAACTGGCTCTAGGCCTCCTCCATGACGGCACTCGCTGTCCAGGGTGAGACAGGCACCCATGGAAAGTTCTCTGGTATGAGGATTCAACCATGCAGGCAAGAATAAAGGCATAGCTAATTAATTTTTAATGTGTACTTTTTAAAGATGACTATTTATTTGCCACTTTGAAAGTGGAATATGTGAACTAAAAGTTAATGAAAGATGGTTAGGAAAATAGTGAAGGAGACTGTTATTACTCATATTTCCCTAATGCAGGAATTTAATTAAAAAAAAACACTTGGTCAGTTTATTTAACATTTTTTTCCTCTTTTGAATTTTTAAAAAATCATCATTATAAAGTAGATGTCATCCTGGCCCATCGGGGAACTATGCTCAGAGCCGACATACTTAGAAACCAGAAGAGTTAGGACTGGACTCTGGTGGTTTCAGACCTGCCTCTGCAGAGTGCAGGACCACACCTGGGTATTTCACAATGAGCTCCCCTGTCGGTGCAGGGGGCCGTTCAAGCTAGGCATGGGAAATTGGCCAGAAAACCCACTTAGCAGCTTTGCTCTAGCAAAACTTTAATTATATGGTTATGATAACTTGGATGAGAAATTTAGTAGATTAGTTTTAAGCCTAAAAACAGGATTAAATAGGTCTGTCAGTTAGCAGACAAGGTGAGGTTTTGGAATTATTGAGGCTTGTGTCCTGTGAGGTGCTTCCCCGTGGCTCAGTGGTGAAGAATCTGCCTGCAGTGCAGGAGCTGCAGGAGATGTGGGTTTGATCTCTGGGCCAGGAAGATGCCTGGAGGAGGGCTTGGCAACCCACTTTAATATTCTTGCCTGGAGAATCCCATGGATAGAAGATCCTGGTGGGCTATAGTTCATGGGTTCCAAAGAGTCGGACACAACTGAAGCGACAGCCCACGTGCACGTGGCCTATGAGAGTCTCCTGCCTTGGTTATCTGGATTGGATTTAGAGGTGAGCAAGGGGAAGATCTGTTTCTGGGGACTTGTGTAGCAGTGGGGTATGGTGGATATTCCTGGGGCCACCTGCAAGGGTCCTTCTGAACAGATGGGGCTGGGGCCCTGGCCTCTGCCATTGTGTGTCCCTGATGCCTCTTTCAAAACTCCCTTTGTGAGTGAAATGTGTCAGGGGTGGGGACGGGGGCAGGGGAGCTGTTAAGAGCTGGCACCAGCTGCATTTGAGCTCTGATTACGTGATCTTTCCCAGTCCTGGACATTTGGTCTGCGGGGCTCACACTTGTTTATTGCCATAGGAGCAGGAGCCCAGAGTTGAGCCCAGGGTGTGAAATAGCCCTGGGTGATGGGCAGGGCTAGCTCCCCGCCTCCTTCCCGTTTCCCTCAAGGGTATGGTCACCTTCCAGAAACCTCCTTGGCTTTGATTAGGGTACAGGAGGTTCATTTGTGTCTAATCAGTGGCTCCCTGAGGGCGTGCCTTGGGGTCGTGGACTGAGCTTTTGGAGCTTAATGGCCTCCTCGAGTTCGTTAACGCCTCTGACTTTGGTTTTCTCCTTGGTGAAATGGGGGCAATAATATCCATGTCATTAGGTGGCTTATAAAGATTAAAAGGAGATGGAGTGTGGAAAGCACCCCAGCCTAGTGTCTGGGAGCTGTCTTCCTATGAAGGTGAAGGGGTCTTTGAGGGCAGGTTGGGTGCGTCATCATAACTTTCCAGGCTTCTGTGCATTTGTGGGTTTCTCTTCTTTTAAGTAAAAGTAGCTGTGCCCATGCTTGGAAGCCGAGCGGATCTCTGCAGGTGTCTCTGGACTGGCGGGCTGCTTCCCTGTGAGGGGTGGACAGGAGCGAGCTGGTCTTTGAAGTCCCAAGGGTTCTGATTGAGATCCTTGTCAGTGCTCTCGCCTGACCTTCCCGTCTGCACTTCTGTTATTTAATCCTGAAGTTGTCTCTGGGACGGTCCCCTCCCTCTTGATGGCCCAGCCCTGCGTCCAGGGTGTATCTGCGCTTCTTGGCCTCCTTGTGTTTGTTCCTAGGTTTGTTCCTGTGGGTCTCCTGTCCGCTGTACCTTCAGATCCTATCCTCTTGTCTCTGGGACTCCTGGCAGATCCCAGCTCCTCCCTGCCCCCTGGCCAGAATGCTCCTGCCCACCTTGGAGTCTTCTGCTCCTTTCCTTTTTGTGTTTTTTTCTTCAGCACCCCCTCATTTTAGCTTATCTTACCCTTTCCAGCAGCACAGCCCCAGGCATGTCTTGAGCAATGCCTGGGAGATTGCCAGCACAATCCCTGCCCTGCGAGGCATGCTGTGTACACTGGCTTTCCATGCTGACATAAAGAAATGCATTTTACGCTGTGACCCAGTAGAAAGGAGAGCAGCCTGTACGTGCATGGAGGGGACCCAGGTTTCAGGCCGGGTCCTGCCTGCATTGTTCCCGCAGTGTCGCGCATCATGTTGGTGGTGTTTTTAATGCTGGCTAGGATTTTCCAAGTGCATTGCCGGAGTGTGGGGAGGGGCTCTGGTTGTCCCTTGATGGGCGTCTTCAGAGGCTTCAGGGCAGAGCAGGAGCGGCTGGGCACGGACAGAGAGCCCCTGAGGAGTTGGGGGCCCCAGCCCTGCAGGGAGGTGTTCCCTCCCCAACCTGCCATCTTGGTTCAGAGGGAAGAAGGCTGAACTAAATCAGGGACTCCCAGATTCAAGTCCTCGTTCTGCTGCTTGGTGGCTGAGAGACTCTGGGCAAATCCCTTCACTCTGTGCCACAGGGTGGCCGTGCGGCGAGGGAACATGGGCCCCGTGCACAGCCCCACCTCCACAGACTCTGCTCCCTGCCTCTCTTTTCTCTCGGTCAACCCAGATCAGAAGGGGAGGTCAGTGGAAAAACCAGAGCCAGAGTTTGGGGTTAGAGGTGGTCTGTGTGAGTGTGACCCTGTGTGAGGCATGGAGCCCCCACCCTGACTTGGCCCACCCCACTGTCTTCCAGCCCTGAAGGATGGCTGCCATGTTGGGGGACGCCATCATGTTGGTCAAAGGCTTTGTCAAGCTGACCCAGGCGGCCGTGGAGACCCACCTGCAGCACCTGGGCCTCGGCGGGGAGCTCATCATGGCGGTCAGGGCCCTGCAGTCCTCCGCCGCAGAGCAGGTCGGCATGGTCTTTGAGCAGGTGCAGGTAAGGAGGCCGCTTGGCGGTGGGAGCGGGGCTGGACTTGGAGGTCTTGGTGAGACCAGGGGGTGAGCCAGGACACCTCCAGGATGGCCAGTCTCCTTGTGGCCAGGGTCAGACTGTTTAACGGAGCCCACCGTCCTTCAGGTGTGAGGGGGAGGCTGCTGCCGTGTGACTTAAGTTTCAGTTATAGGAAGCTTCACAGAGCTGGGAAGAACCCCAGGAACATGAAGCCCAGCACGCTCTCCAGTCTGACCAGTAACTTATCAGCACTTACCCTGTGCCTACTGGTGCCAGGCATGGGGCGCAGAGGGGTGAGACAGGCCCCGACCTGCGGGGGGCTGCCTGTAGCTTGCTGTGTTCGCTCTGCCTGGCCTGGGTTCAGTTCCTGGGCCTGTCCTCAAGGTACTGAAGAGAGGCCTTTTTAATTTGGGAAATTAAAAAAAGCTGCAAAGTTGAAACTCATGGTATCTGGAAGGCCAGAAACACTTCCTTCTCTGAAGCAAACAAGTACTCTATAAGACAAAGCACCTTCTCCCTGTTCCTCTGGTTTCCATTAGTGTTTCTTTGTTGGGTCAGTTTTGTAAAGTGATGCAAGGTCTCCCATGTGTGGGTGGATGGGGCAGGCACATTTTGTTGGACGTCATGCCTCAGCATCGAGTGTCACAGGGTCGAATGTCAGTGGGCCTTCTGGGACTTCGAAACCCTTGCCCACTCTCCCCTGCCCACCCCCACCCCTCCTGGCTGTGCTGGGCTTCGTTTTCCTCCTCCACAGGCTGGGGTCTCCAGGAGCTGACTTGGGAGCCCTGCCTCTTTCCAGGGCAGCAGCCTCACCTCCTGCCTCCCTCTCGTCCCTCATGTTGTCTCGTGCTGAGTCCAGAGACCTCGACGCTTTACTGTCCAAGGGGAGGACTATAAGCAGAATCGAGCGCTGGAGCCGTGGTTGTCAACAGGGCTGCTAGCAGAGCGCCGCCCCCCACGGCGTCTCCTGCGTGGTCCACACCCCGTTCCGGACAGTCTGAGGGCATGGGGAGGGTCTGCGTGTGCATGCATGTACGTGTGTGCACTCGAGTGCCTGGGCACGTGTGCGTTGGGAGCTGTGCTGTGAGGCAGCCCCGCTGCCACTCCCCTTCCATCGCTGCCCTGTCCTTCTAGACAAGGACACGTGCGCTCCTCCAGGCTCTGGGCCGCCAGCCTCTGGCCAGTCTCAGGTTAGGATTGCCAGCCTTCCCTCTGGTTCTCTGAGGTCCAGGGGCGATACCGTGTCTCTCTCTACACAGATGCCTTCACCTCGCAGAGGTCTTCACTCCTGTGGTCTCTTACGAGCCTCACCGTTGTCCTGGGAAGGGTGCAGGCCCAGATGCTTACCTCCCTTCTCAGATGGGGAAACTGAGTCTCAGCAGTTTGATGCAATTATTGACTGACAGGACCAGATTCCTGTGTCCCCTTCACACACTGTCTCTGCCCGCGCTCCCCTGTTGAGGCGGGGCTGTGCCCTGGCTGCCTCACTCGGTGCCCCTCGCTAGTGAGGAGCCATCGCCTTCCTGTTGGGCGTTTGCCTATGGAACACCCAAAGTGAGGTTGCCCGACTCACTTGGGCCTCCTGGGAGTGAGGAGCGTGTTAGATGTGGGCAGACCTCCCTGAGAGGTGAGGGAGCCCTGGCTCCCCCCCAGCCCCTGCTCCCCTCGGACAGGCCGGTTCCCGGTCCTGGGAAGAGACCAGGCCGTCCGCCGGCACAGCCGCTGGGTGGTAGGAGGAGTGGTGGTCCCCCGCCTGGAAGGAGGCACGGCGCGGTGGTCTCCAGCGAGCTCCTTTCCGTCTGCACACGAGGAGGGGACGGAGGGCCAGGTACCCCGGGAGCCTCTCTCCCTCTGCCTTCTCAGGGGTTTGTTCACTTGCCCGTTCAGCAGACATGTACTGAGTCTGGTCCCCTTGAGACACTGAGGCCCCTCGACTACCACATAATCAGGCCATGGTAACGCAGGGCTGGCTGGTGGCCCGCAGGAGTGTTACAGGAGTCACGTGGCTCATGGGGGCCTGCCCCAGACTCCCTCCTTCCAGGGCCTCCCTGACCATCTGGAGAGGTGCCTCTTGATTCCAAATACAGCTCATCTCTTCTCTGAGGAAGGTGCCATCAGGTGGCCTCGGGGCGGCCGGTGGGGCCAACCTTGGCGCCAGGTCCTTGCTCTGCCTGGGGGCCCCTACCAGGTTATTTCAGCTCCCTCAGCCTCAGTTTCTCACTTAGGAAGGGTAGTAGCCTGTCTCTTTTCTTCCACTGGAGGGCATATCTTGTCTGCCTAGATTCCACAGTATCTTATCAAGCTGAGAGTGAGAAGGCTTTGGGGTCTGCTGCTGTTTGTGCAGAATCTGCAGTCAATGCTCTGTGTGTTCAGTCCATTTCAGAGAATCCTGGACTCAGGGAATCCAGGCCACTGACCTCCCTTCAGGAGTCGGCTGCGTCCTAATTATAGTCTTCTCAGCACTGTTCCGTTGGCCCTGTCTGTGCCTCACGTAGCTCTGTGACTGGGGGGAGCCCTATTTTCAGAGAAGGAAACGGTAGAGCAGGGTCAGGAACTCAACAGTAGAAGTAGAAGGACCCTGGACCTGAAGCTCAAGTCTCAGCAGCTGTTAACAGGGAAAGCCTGGTGTATCACCCTGCTGCCTGCGCTGTGTACCCCCTGCTCCAGTGACGGCCGGGCCTGGTCCTGGCTGTGACACGCCCTCTGGTGAGAGCCTCTAAGGGGGCGCCCAGGGCTGGCTGGCGGAGATGCGCCAAGGCGCTGCCGGTGTGCCGCCCTCCCCTCTGCTGGTTGGTGGCCGTGCTTTCACTTCGCAAAGCTTTCCCCGTCTTATGCCCTGGCTCACCCTCCCCAAAGCCCTGGTAGCCTCTCCTTAGTCCGGATTTACAGGTGAAGAGCTTACTCCAGGCGAGTGGTCACTCCTGTGGTCCGGTCTGGGCGCCCAGCAGGGGCCACGTGCGACTGGGTTGCCTGGCCCACAAGGTGGGAGCCCTGGTGGGAGCAGGTGTGGAATCTGGTCCTCCTGGATCCGGGCTGCTGCTCACCTCTAGAACGGGCCATGGGGTGACACGGTAGAATCCCCTGGAGGGTGTGCTGTTCTGGGTGGAAGAGGGTGCATACAGGGGTTTGCTCCTGGCTGCCCTCTTGCTCCTCTCACGCTGGCTTTTGCTTCCTGCAGGGTCAGGAGAAGCCTGAAGAATATTACTCTGAGAGCCTCGATGACCCGGAAGGAGCATTCCACTTCTCAAGGATGAGGGCCGAAGGCGCCTCTGAGGATGTCTCTGCAGCCTCCTCCCTGGAGCAGTCACCTCCACCCTGGGCTCACGCCGGCAGCGAGGGCCCAGCTCCTGCCTATGTTGCCAGCGGACCCTTTCGGGAAGGCGGGCTCCCGGGCCAGGCCGCCTCCCCTCTGGGCAGGGTGAACGGGAGGCTCTTCGCAAGTCCCAGAGACCCGTTCTCTGCCCTGGGCCTTCAACGGAGGGTCTACCACCAGGACCAGTCGTCCATGGGCGGCCTCACGGCTGAGGACATTGAGAAGGCCCGGCAGGCCAAGGCTCGCCCGGAGAGCAAGCCCCACAAACAGACAGTGCGTGCAGGAGGCCCCTGGGGTGGGACTGGAGTGGTTCCCACAGTCCTGCCGTGTAGGTCTGTGGCCTGGAGTTTCAGGCACACAGAGGCCTCTTGTGGGTGGAGTGTGCTGCCCTTGGGGTAGAGAGGGGCTGTGGGGGCAGCGCGGACCCTGAGCTTGGTCCTGTCCCTGGTCACTGATGCCATGAGGGCTCTTTCTCTTCTCCCTCTAGCTCAGTGAGCATGCTCGCGAGCGGAAGGTACCGGTTACACGGATTGGGCGGCTGGCTAACTTTGGAGGTAAGGTGCCAGTCCTGGCGAGAGGAGCTGAGGCTGCCATGGGGCCTGCATGAGGAGGGAAGGATGGGGGTCCAGGGGTGTCCTGGGGAGGGTGGTAGCTCCCGTGTTCGCCACTCTTGGATGTTTTCCATGAATGTGAAAACATTCATGTGATCCAGTGTGATTGTGAGTGATCCAGTCGCTACCTCAGCTCACCCCTGGGGATCAGTGGGGTGTGGCTGATGCTGTTCTGTAACTGCAGCTTTGCGTCTTGGGGGGGCAGCGAATGCAGCATCATCTCTCACTCAGGCCTCTGGAGGCCCCGCAGAGAGGAGGCGGGACAGTGGGGCTGCTTGGCTCCTGGACACAGTAGTTTTGCCCAGTCCTTTGGGGAGCCATTTGCTGAATTCCCACAGGCCTGCAGGCTCCAGTAGAATGATATCGAGGTGTGTTGGCCGTGAGCTGCTGCTATCCATTTTAATGCACTGTGGAATTGTGAGTTTGTCCTTTCCTTTGGGAGTTTGTGTGCAATACACCTGTGCTCTCTTTGTCCATATTGGAAGATCATCTTATAATGAAGATTCACAGCAGTTGTATTTGCTTTTGTGATGTTGTGTTGTCTATCTGGTGCTTATTCGCTGACCAAAATATTCCTTTTGAAAGTGCCATCCTTCGCAGTGGGTTCTACTTGAAGATGGAATGACTTCTCTAAAGCTTGCTTGTCCTTAGTAGGTTCTCCAGACAGTACAGTTAATGAAAGAATGGCATTAGTATGGCAATCAGCTCTGGCAACTTGATTCATACACCCTCGCTGGGCAAGTGCGAGGCTGTGTGTGACAGAGGTCTCCTTGGCTCCTGTTGATGCCAATGCTGACTGGTCATGAAGGCCCACTGTCACCTGTCTGAGCTGTTACCGCCTGCCTTTTGCTTGCTTGGTCTTTATGTCTCCCCTCCCGTAGGCTGTACATCAGGCTTGCTCTTCTCCCTGGCTGCTCTTCTCTTTTGAAAACCCATCTTCCTCCTTGTTCAAAATTGGTTCTGTGCTCCTTGGCCCTCTGGGAGCTGGCCTGTTGTGTGGGCTTTAACACTGAACAATGGTTGGCTGTCCACCTTATGGTCAGAGCAGACGAAGTTAATTGGATAGAATTATCTCAACGCTGAGGTTTTCTTCCATAACTGTTATCTTAAAATTTGACATCTGCTGCTACTTATCTTTTCCAGATTCTGGAATCCAGTGTCATCTGTGTTTTAGCACAAAATTTTTGCTTCATTTCACATTCATGGGCTAGCAGTTCCTCAGAACATTGTAACCCCCTGGGGTGCCACTGCCAGAATGGGTTTGAAAGTCGCTGCTCTGATGGGGTCCAGTGGTCCTCATGCCCAGAAGATACGGCACTTCCCTGCTTTGCTCAGTGCTATTAGTTGGGACGTTTATTATCATTCATATTGAGTGGAGGTTCCGTTCTCTCCTCCATGAGTCTGAGGGCAGGAGCCGTTCTCTTCTTACTCTGTAGTTTTTCTCTGTAATTGTAATCCTCTTCCCCTCACTCCAGACCAGAGCTCATCACAGAGCCCTGTCACCGGAAGGCTTAGTTTGACTAACATAGTGTAGAATGGGTGTAAGCCTCTCTCTGGAGTCTGTGAGGGTGGAGTAGTTTTGTTTGGGAAAGCAGTCAGGGTGAAGGTCGTGGTGGCCAATTAGAATTTGATGGAGATCATGGTGAAGCCAGCAAAAGTCAAACCCTTTTGGGTGGTGGGTTAAGGACAGCAGACTGAAGTGAAAGTGGTGGTAGAGAAAGGTGTGTAGGACAAAAAGGCAGCTTCCTTAAAACCAGGGTGCAGGGCTTCCCTCAAGGTGTGGGAGACGTGGCCACCAGAGGGAGCTGGGGTTGGATGAGCAGAGGCCCTGGTCTCTGTAGGGGCTTTGCACCCTCCAGAGCCTCTTGAGCCCTTGCTGACAGCTGCCTGGTGCTCAGAGCCTCCCTTCAGAGTCTCTGCTGGAGATTTGCTCACAGCTGTGATTCAGAGTTGCTCATGTTGCCCATGCAGTTGGCGGCTCATATTTCAGGATTGGAGGTGGCAGGATGGGAGCAAAGAGGAACCAGGTCTGGAAAGAATGTGCTGTTCTGGCCCTAGAGGTAAATTCTGAACCTTCTGTCCTATCCAGAGGTTTTCAAACTGTGGGTTATGACCCTTAAGTGAGTGTGAAATCAGTTTAGTGGGTCAGGACCAGTGTTTTTAAAAACAAGTAAATAGAATGGAATTGAAGAGAAAAGGATCAGAATTAGTATCATAGATCCTGAGAACTGAGAACATTGCAAAAATATTTGTTTCAGATATATTTATGCTATTGATACATGCTCTTCATTGCATTGTATATGGCTTACTGGTGGGTCATTGTCTAAACAATTTGAAGTGACACTGCTTTACTTTCTTCTCCTAGAATACACTTCGAATCTTTTTTCTCCTCACAAGGGTGAGATGTTTTGAGGTGCATAGTAACAGACTTTAGGAGGTTTTATGAGGGGTATGAAGGAAGGCGGTTGCTCTCGACCTCAGGGAGATAGGGTTGTGTTTGGGAATGTCAGCAGCAGGCATTCAGCTATGTGGAGGCAGAGGCAGGGGCTCTTCCGTTGGGATGGCACATTTTGATGCTGAGATGGGGCAGGAACTCTAGGCCCAGTTTGGCCATGGGATGTCATGGCTGTGATGCTGTGGGCATGGCGATCTGTACTTTTGTCCTCTGCTTTTGGAATTTTCTCTTTGCTTTTGGTTTTCAGCAGTGTGACTGTGACACACTTGGGTGTGATTCACTTTGTTTTTGTCCTGCTTGGGATTGCAGAGCTTCTTGAGTCTGTGGCTTAATGTCTTTCATCAATTTTGGAAAATAATGGTCATTTCTTAAAATATTGTTTCTGGCCTGTTCTCTTTCTCCTCTCTGAGACTCCAGTTACACATATGTTAGGGCTTTCCCTCTGTCCAATGTGTCTCCTCTGCTCTTTCCTGTATTTTTCATTTGTGTCTCAATCTTACAGGTTCAGAGAGATGTCTTATCATCTCTCCTGCACCTACAAATGGAAAACTGGATGATTATAGAAATGAGACTAACAGATAAAGTGAGCACTAAGGAAAACTTGTTACTCTGGTGGCTCAGTGGTAAAGAATCTGCCTGCCAGTGTAAGAGAGATAAGAGATGTGGGTTCTTTCCCTAGGTTGGAAAGATCCCCTTGAGAAGGAAATGACAACCCACTCCAGTATTCTTGCCTGGGAAATCCCATGGGCAGAGGAGCCTTGTGGGGGGTTGCAAGAGTCAGACATGACTGAAGCAAATGAGAACAAGAGAAAAACTTATCAAAAGGAGCTGAGCACTATGTGCATAGCATTTTGCTGATCACTAGGACCTTCACTTAGGAATCTATAGTCCACATCATTAAGGCAGAAGGGAGAAGAATACTAAGTAAGAGAACTGGAAAGAGAGGAACAACAAGTGAAGAAGTAGGAAGTGATCAGGATACTTAGATTCTATGTAGAAAGGATTTTGAAATATGATACATGAAAATAGACGCTAGTCTGAGAAAACAGTGGGCCAGGAATGAGGAGTAGAGGGAATGGACTCTCAGGAATCCTCTTATTTTTAAAAGGTAAAAGGTTAAGGACTCTTACTTCCAGAAAAATACATTGCTTTAAAAAATAGTTCCCAAGACACCATTGAATTTCTTAAGTGATTTTGTAAGAACAGTGTTCTCACTTATGTTAGAAAATAGGTGAATGCAAACTGATTGCTATTGTTGCTTAATTTCTTAAAGATTCTGATAACCCTAGGTGTCCTGTTAATATGTCAGCAACAAAGCTCTCTCCGAGCTCATTTGCCCCTTTTCCCACAAAGCTTTTGGGTCGTTCCCTGCACCTCCCTTGTCTCAGTAGTAAAACTGAAAACAAAAGGTTTTGGGATTGAGTAACTGAGTTTTGTTGACGGCCTCATTCTGTCTTCTTCGTTTTCAGATGTCGACCCTGCTGTGTCTTGCCAGGGGCCTTGCAGAGCCATTCAGCAGTGGTGATGCCAATGGACCCCTTGGCTGGGGTGGGGAGGGGGTGGGCAGCTCGGTAGGGGTGAGAGTGTTCACACCTCCTGCAGCAGGACTGTGTGTTCCGAGCTCCTGGCGTGAAGCCAGGACTTGTCTGAAGTCAGGCTTCCCCTACCAGCATTTATTGATAGGGCACCTAATTTTCATTAAGGATGCGGAGATCTGAGGTCCTGGTGTCGACAGGGACTGCCCTGGTGTCCCTCATTGGGTGGCACTCAGTGATGCCAGCTTTGCCGCCTGACTTCCTGAGGACGCACGCTGCACGTGTGCTGACCCTCTAAGCAGCTGGCGCTCCTCTATGCTCTCTGAGGTCGCAAGATGGATGCCCCGTAAGTCTTAAGAGAAGTTAGCAACCTTGGCAGGGGTGAGGAAACGTGGTTTCCTACGTTTCCCAGGAGCATACTTCAAAGGGACTTTGAGTCTGGCTGGGTCTGCCACCTTTGCACTCGTCCCTTCTACCCGATCCCGCAGAGGGGCCCTCAGTTCTTCCCCTCCTGCCCTGGCCCAGTTCTGAGAACTGAGAACACTCACTCTGCAGGGAATGTCCTCCACCGCTCCTTCCTGTCTGCCTTCCTGCAGCACTGTGGGCTGCAGCCCCTCCCGGGCCGGCGCTGGCGTGGTGTGGGGGATGCAGGTGACGGGAGAGAAGGTGGAATTACCAAGGGTTCGGGAACACCTTGAAGCAAAGGAAATTTCCTTGTCCACCGCCTTTTCTGTGTGGACTTTCTTGTCTTATGAGATCAGGAGGATCGTGTTGATAAAAGTTGAGGCCCGAGAACAGTGGCTGGCACGTGGGTGGTGCAGTGTGAGTGAAGCTGTTTTTCCCTTAGATTTGCCCCTCACTGCTGCAGGGAATCTCCGGCCAGCCTTGTTTGGTAAACACACCTGGGGGTTCTGGCAGGTAAATACGGAACATTTCCTCACTTCTTCCTGCTCTCAGGCACCTCTCACCAAGCCTCCTCACAGTCGCTGCTGTTTACTGGAAGGTGTTTTATTTTTACCTTTTTTTGACCTCTGTGCCTGTGTGGGTGGAAGCCCAGTGGTTGTTCAGAGGGGACATGTTTATCTCTTGAGGACCTGCAGAGGGCCTCTGGGGCCTGGGCTTCCTGGTCACAAGGAACAGGCCCAATTCCCTGGGAAGCAGCTCACTGCTCCCAACTCTTCTAGGGAGAACCCTGCTCCCTGCAGCTTCTCACTCCTTCCGCGTTTCTAGCCTGAAAAACCTTTGGTGAGAGAAATGTAGGAACTTTCTTGAAAGGGGCTGGTGCCTTCTCACAGCCTAGGGTGGTGGCCAGGCTGCTGACGGTGGCCGTGGGGCTGCTGACCTGGATCTGTGGCTGGTCTCCTCCGGGACCTCCGAGCAGCCTGTGTGGTCCAGGCCGGGGCTGCCTGTGGGTCAGGGCATGGATGGCGCTGTCCTGAGGGCTGGGGGGCTGGGTGTGGGTGGGGATAAAGGTGACAGTGGAGAGTGAGCGAGCCTGGGCTCAGGGTGTCCTCACCAGCTCGGGGAATCTGAGACAGAGGTGCCACCCGGCTCTGCAGGAGGGAGGAACCTGGGGCTGCGCCTGCCCTTCTCTCTCCACAAAGCTCTGAGAGTCCTTTAAGTCAGCGTGTTGGGGACTGGCAGGAGGGCCAGTCTATTCCTGGTTCAGTAGAGCAGGAGCTCTGAGGTCAAGGTCAGGGCTGGCTGGCTGGCGGGGCTGCTCACCTCCCGGGCCGCAGTGGGGAGCCTGTCTGTTGGCAGTTCCGCAGGCCTGGCACCAGCCTGGTCCTGAGGGAGCTCGCGGGGCCACAGGAGGAGCCTGCGGCCTCCTTTGCAGAATGTTCCCTCCGTGATTAGTGTTCAGTGACATGTCCTTGGCTTGGAGAGCTTTGGCTCTGTCCCACAGCCTAGAATTGACCAGAGAAGAGTCTGAGGGGGCCCAGCAGAAGGCACAGGGGGCTCTGCAGAGGGAGGGGCGTGGCATCTGCTCGCAGTGGCCAGGCTGGGTAACCTTTGGTGAGTCTGCCTCTCTTGTAGGCTTCTCTTTGGATTTGATCTAGCCAGAGAAAAATCTTGGGGCAGAGAGACACTGGCGAAGGTCGTTGGGATTTGAAGGTTAACGTTCCCATTATCATTATTTTGCTAAATCAGATAGTGTGATGAGTGGTGTGGGGCTGGGCAGGCAGCAGGGAGTTAACATTTGACCAGAGATGCGGCTCCGGCTCTGTGCTGTGTCCTCTGGGGCTGGGTTGGGGTATCAGAGGGAAACAGGCCACAGCATCTCCATTTAGCGCCCCAGGGTGTCCTTGGGGGCATCTGCAGATGACTGTGGCCTCTTCCTGTGGCTGCCAGAACTTGGCTTATACTTGGCATGTGCTGACCCAGCAGCAACATGGGCTGCTGGGCACTTGAAATGTAGCGGGTCCAAGTTGAGATGTGCTCTGAGAGTAAAATACATATTGGATTTGAGGGCTTAGTGTAAGAAAAGAGTAATATATCTTTTTAACAATGTTTATATTGAGTACTTATAAGGGATGATATGTTGAGTTGTTATTCAGTCGCTCAGTCGTGTCCGACTATTTGCGACCTCATGGAGTGTAGCACACCAGGCTTCCCTGTCTTTCACCATCTCCTGGAGCTTGCTCAGACTCATGCCCATTGAGTTGATGATGCCATTCAACCATCTCATCCTCTGTTGTCTGCTTTCTCCTGCCTTCAGTCTTTCGCAGTATCAGGGTCTTTGCATCAGGCCAAAATATTGGAGCTTCAGTTTCAACATCAGTCCTTCCAATGAATAGTCAGGGTTGATTTCCTTTAGGATTGATTGGTTTGATCTCCTTGCTGTCCAAGGGACTCTAAGAGTCTTCAACACAACAGCTCAAAAGCATCAATTCTTCAGCACTCAGCCTTCTTTATGGTCCAGCTCTCACATCCATACGTTACTACTGGAAAAACCAAAGCTTTGACTAGACAGACCTTTCTTGGCAAAGTAATGTCTCTGCTTTTTAATACGCTGTCTAGGTTTGTCATAGTTTTTCTTCCAAGGAGCAAGTGTCTTTTAATTTCATTGTTACAGTTACCATCTGCAGTGATTTTGGAGCCCAAGAAGGTAAATTCTGTCATTGTTTCCATTGTTTCCCCATCTATTTGCCATGAAGTAAGTGATGGGACCGGATGCCATGATCTTAGTTTTCTGAATGTTGAGTTTTAAGCCAGCTTTTTCACTTTCCTCTTTCACTTTGATCAAGAGGTTCTTTAGTTCTTCTTCACTTTCTGCCATAAGGGTGGTGTCATCCACATATCTGAGGTTATTGATATTTCTCCTGGCAATCTTGATTCCAGATTGTGCTTCATCCAGCCCACTTTTTCTCATGATGTACTCTGCATAGAAGTTAAATAAGCAGGGTGACAGTATACAGCCTTGACGTACTCCTTTTCCTATTTGGAACCAGTCTGTTGTTCCATGTCCAGTTCTAACTGTTGCTTCTTGAGTTGCATACAGGTTTCACAGGAGGCAGGTAAGGTGGTCGGGTATTCCCATCTCTTTAAGAATTTTCCACAGTTTGTTGTGATTCACAGTCAAAGGCTTTCGCTTAGTCAATGAAGCAGAAGTAGTTGTTTTTTTCTGGAGTTCTCTTGCTTTTTCTGTGATCCAGTGGATGTTGGTAATTTGATCTCTGGTTCCTATGCCTTTTCTAAATCCTGCTTGAACATCTGGAAGTTCTTGGTTCATGTACTGTTGAAGCCTAGCTTGGAGAATTTTGAGCCTGCCTTTGCTAGCATGTGAAATGAGTGCAGTTGTGTGGTAGTTGATCATTCTTTGGCATTGCTGTTCTTTGGGATTGGAATGAAAACTGACCTTTTCCCGTTCTGTGGCCACTACTGAGTTTTCCAAATTTTCTGGCGTACTGAGTGCAGCACTTTCACAGCATCATCTTTTAGGATTTGAAATAACTCAGCTGGAATTCCATCACCTCCACTAGCTTTGTTCATAGTAATGCTTCCTTAGGCCCACTTGACTTCACATTCCAAGATGTCTGACTCTAGGTGAGTGATCACACCATCATGATTATCTGGGTCATTAAGATCTTTTTTTGTACAGTTTTTCTGTGTATTCTTGCCACCTCTTCTTAATATCTTCTGCTTCTGTTAGGTCCATACTGTTTCTGTCCTTTATTGTGTCCATCGTTACATGAAATGTTCCCTTGGTATCTCTAATTTTCTTGAAGAGATCTCTAGTCTTTCCCATTCTATTGTTTTCCTCTGAGGAGGCCTTAGAAATAGCTGAGAAAGGAAGATAAGTGAAAGTCAAAGGAGAAAAGGAAAGATACCCTTCTGAATGCAGAGTTCCGGAGAATAGGAAGGAGAGATAAGAAAGCCTTCCTAAGTGAACAATGCAAAGAAATAGGGGAAATATGTTGAGTACTTTGGGTTAAATATATGATCAGAATTCATTTCACATGCTTCTTTTTGCCTTTTTAATGTGGTCACTAGAAAATAAAAAATGTCCGTGGCTGACATTATATTTCCTGGGCAGCACCGGTCTACTCTTTGAATAGGAGAAAGGACAGTAATAGCGAACATTTTAAAATAGTGTTGACTGCCCCTTCTGGTAGCACTTCAGTCTTATTCCACTGTTTAGTCCTCACACCGACGAAGAGGCAGGAGCCTCCTTTACATCTGACAAAGTGGGGGCTGCACCTTTGCCTAATGGTGGGTAAAGTGTATTCCAAAAATACATATTTTTTAATTTGGTTATCCTTTTTTGATTTAAAAAATTTTTCCTTCATTAAGTAGCTTTCTCAGTAAATTCAATAATATTTCTCATAAAAGTAACACATAATCATAGAAAATTTGGAAAATGTAGAAGCACGTGCAGGTTTCCTTGCCCGGTGTGAGCCCACCGGGCCTGGAGGGAAGCTGTTCCATCAACCTCGCAGCCCCCCAGGACTGTGCTCACCACGGTCCGCTGTTCTCGGGGCCTCTGGCATCTTCCCTGGGTCTTTGCTGCCCTTCTGCTGTGCTCCTCCGCACGTTCTTCACTCTCTCAGCTAACTGCGCCCCCGCCCCTAGGCCAGCCGGAACTGTGTTTGAAATAGAGGAGATGGGCCCTGAGCCAGGCTCCTGGGCTTTCTGTGTGGGCCGAGTGGCAGCTGCTGGGCTCCTTGGGGCTCTCCTGGACAGTTGGGATCATCCAGTACCAACTTCTGATAAATGAGGTGTTAAGAAACCTTGATTTCAAAGGTTGATGAAGGGAGAAAGGGGGGCTGATACCCCACTGTCCTTATACCCCTGTGCATGTCTGTGGGGGCTTCCTCTTGAGTGGGAGCTGCGGTCTGAGCTCCAGTGAGTCCCCATGGCTTTTGCAAAATGTTCCGACCCTATCAACGACTGCTGTATGTTGTGGGTAAAACGTCTCCTTGCAGCTGCAGTCAACTAGATCAGAGAGTTCCGGGGTGTTGAGGCTCATTGCACACACTGTGAAGTGGGTGACTGTGTCCCGAAGGGTGCCCTGTGTTGTCCTTGCCCGCAACCATTCCCGGTCTATTTTCCATTTGCGCCGTGTCTCCCAAGTATGTTTTTCGTTGTGTGTTGTCTCGGGGTGTGTTTGTGTGTCACGTGAGTGTATAGCAAAGGTGATGGGAGTGGGGGTAGAGGAGACTTTTCCACCCGAGCGCTCATCGTGAGCCAGGTGTTCTTTGAAAACAGTCACTGTGTATCTCCTACCTTTTAAGATGTCTGCAGTGTCAGCCGGGGTCCCTGGGGAGCGAGGCCCTTGTCTGCCTGGGGCTGCTCCAGGGCTCATGGGGAAGGGCATTGGGCAGCTCCTGAGCGAATGCCCAGAGCCCTCAACCTCCTCTTTGCAGGTCTGGCTGTAGGTCTGGGCTTCGGGGCCCTGGCCGAGGTTGCCAAGAAGAGCCTCCGCCCCGAGGACCCCTCAGGTGAGCTGGGCCCTTGACCGGGAGGGTAGGGTGGGCCCCGGGGAGGGGGCCTGTCAGCTCCGAGCTCCTGCCTGTGTTCCCTGAGGGTTGGCCTCCACGGGCGCCTTGCACCTTGTGTTCCTGTAAATGGCAGCCCTGGAGTTTGGGACCTGAAGGCCTCTCTGCACCCGTCCTGGTCCACGTTGGCTCACCCACCCTCCCAGCTCCTCCAGGGCCTCCACACTTGCTCTCTCCTGACAGGAGCCTCAGTTTCTTTGGGGCCCCAGGTGTGCTAGGCCAGGGCTCCCTGTTTGGCTGTGGCTGAGAGATGTGGGAGCTGCTGGAGCTGTGGGGCCTCCATCCCCCTGCTCGGTGACCAGGGGTGGCCATCTCCTCTCCAGCCTCAGACCCTTCATCTCTGAGGGGAAGGTCACGACTCCCCTGTGACCCCAGGGCCAACCGGGGTCAGGTCAGAATGCCCAGTTCCCCCTAGTCTGGGTGGCCAGCTGTGGGCTGTACTCCATGGAGAAAGTTCTGCTGCTGGAACCTGGGTGCTTATGGTGCTGTGTTGGTGGGTCAGGGGGCAGCTCCCCCCACTACCCACTTGTCAGGGTGCCCAGCCAGGGCCTCTCCCCCAAGCTTGTCCCGGCATGGGCGTGGGCTGGGAAGATGCAGAGAACTTCCCCTTTAACGGAGTTCTGGTGGCCATTAAGGGCAGCCCTGCTAGAGCCTTCTGCTCATGGATTTCTCAATGTGTACTTGATGTTCCGGGCTGAATGCCCCCTGTCCCTATTCAGGGCTCATCAGCTCATTCCAAGACCTGACGCCTCCTCCTCCCTCCCTGAGAACCCTGAGTGGTCCCCACTGTCCGGCTGCACTGTGGCCCCTAAGCCCTGGCTACAGCCCCGGGGCTGGCTCCCCTGGTGGCCTGTCAGCCCCCTGGATGGCCCTGCTTCACCTGCAGGACCCTCTCGAGGGGACAAGAGTCCTCTCGGGGGAGAGGGCACTAGCCCGCCCTACTGGCCCCTGAGCATGTGTGTCCTTGGAAGGGGACAGAGGACAGAGAGGCTTAGGGAGGTATTTTTAGTGTTGGTGCTGAGGCTCCGGGAAGTGAAGCCTGCCTCTGGAGTGAGAAGCCAGCCTGCCCCAGGCATAGCTCCTCCCATCCTCCGCTCCACAACTGGCGGTTCTCCATCCCTCCTCGTCCAGGCAGGGAAGAGGCAACCCCGGCTCCTTGCTTACAGCTGGTGTCCTTTGTCAGGGAAGCAGTGGCCTGGCTGGGGGTCAAGGCGCCTGGGTGCCACCACACTGGGAGCAGGACGTGGGCTCAGGCCAGAGGGTGTGCACCCCCTTCCTGAGCAGCGCCTGGAGCCCCGGCCTGCTCTCCCTGGGGAGCGCCTCCTGGCTGGGGGGCAGCCCACCATGCCCTTCGGCTCACTGACTCCCCCATGTTGTTCTCAGACCACCCTTGCCCGGGCTGTGGAGACTGGCCAGCTGTGAGGAGGGGCTGCCTGGAAATCTCAGGAGGGCCGGGCCCTCTCTCTCAATGTCAGGGTCACTGTGTCACTTGGGGGGAAAGCGCCTGCCTGGGGCGGGGCCTTCCTCCTCCCCTGCCTCCTCAGGGACATGACCCAGGTCCCCGGCCCACAGCGTCCAGGGTCTGAGCAGCTGGGGAGGGCAGAGGGGACTTAAGAGGTCTGCCAGGGACCCCCTTGGCCCAGCCACCTTGGATGGCCCCGCTTAGGGGCTGTAGCTTCCGTGATGTCCAGCCGCTGGCCTCTCCCTGTGGAGCTGAACTCTCTCCCCTTTCTGGGACCCTGTCCTGATATCTGGTTCCCTGAGAGTGAGCCTGGCCCTGTGTAGGCCTAACAGCTACCCTCAGATGCTGGCCTTCAGACTCACATCCTGCTTTAGCCCCTTGGCCCTGGTATATCAGAGGCCAGGCTGGACACAGCCCCGGACGGAGGGCAGTGGCATGATGCCAGCTCCCTTGGTCCCGCCGTGGGATCTGGCTCAGACCTGCTCTGAGTCTGGACCGGGCCGACAGGGATGCAGGCTGAGGAAATTGCCAGGGGCTGTGGGGGCAGCCTGGCCCCTGGGGGATTTCTGGTCTAACTGGGCTCACAGGACAGAGGGCAGGACCACTGGGTGACCCCCTCCTCATCACCCTGAGTCACCACCCTGTACCCTCCCGCCTCTTGAGTGTTCTGGACAGAGGTCATCTGCTCCCCTGAGGTTTCTTCACTTTCTCCCGGGGCCCGCTGGCTGCAGGGGCTGCAGGGCCTCTGTGGGCAGAGGGGAGAGGCCGGCACCCACCAGGTGAGGCTGTCCTTGACCCTGCACTTCCCCCTGGAGAACTGCACTCTCACCATGGCCAGCGGGCCCCGGGTGAGTGTGCAGGGACTCGGGGGTGCTGGTGACCTTTGTCCAGGACACTGAGGGGCAGGGGACAGTCACTTGGCCAGGGCTGACATGGAGGGAGAGGCCCTGTGGGCCAGCCTGTGTGTGTGTGTGTGTTCGGAGGGTGCTGGGGGCAGGCCTGGGGAGACCTGGGGGGCCCCGGAGGGCCTTCCTCGGCACCTAGGGGGGCAGATGTGAGATGTGGAGTTAAAACTGCACTGCTGGTTTTGTGGCGCCCCGGGAGGGAGCCCTTTGTATCAGGATGTCTGCTGGGCTCTATTCCACCGCCCTTAAAACGGGCCCTTAAAACCCTGACATTTCGTTATTTTATTATTTGTTATTTTACTGGGAGAACCAGTGATTTGCCAAGACCCACAACCAGGGGCCAGTGGGCTGGGTTGTACTCAGTCTTGAGTCGGGGGAGGGTCCTCTTGGGGTGGGGTGGGGGGTCCCAGGTCTGGCAGCCCCGCCTGAGGGGCATCATGGTGGCTTTGCTCCTCCGCAGGGAAGAAGGCAGTGTTGGACTCCAGCCCCTTCCTGTCGGAGGCCAACGCGGAGCGCATCGTGCGCACCCTGTGCAAGGTGCGCGGGGCGGCGCTCAAGCTGGGCCAGATGCTGAGCATCCAGGGTGAGTGTGGTTGGTGGGGGGCGGGGTGGGGGCTGGCGGGGGTGGGGTGCAGTGGGGGTGGGGAGCAGAGGGAAGGCGTGCGTTTCAGCCCCACTGGGGACGAGTAGAGAGGGAGGTTTTCTGCTCACTGACTTCTCTTGTTTGAATCCTTGCTGTTAACCAACCTGAGATGTTTAAAAAATAGTCTTAAATAAGAACCCGTGGTGGTTGTTTTTTGGCTTCTTTCTGAGTGTTTTGGCATATCCAAAAGTCCTGGCATCTCAAAAATTGGCGAGAGTCAGGCTGATGGTCTGAGGGTGCTGTGGGCGAGCTCACAGGCTGCAGTGGCGTGACATCGGGGTGTGGGGTGTGTGGTCAGGGAAGGAAGGTGGGGAAGACGCTGTGGCTGAGCAGGAGGCGGGCTGGGTGTAGGGCTGAGTGCAGCCCGGGTCCAGGGGAGCCTTGGGACTTCTGATGGGGCCCCCAGGGTGGAGCATCTGAGACGCTTATGTCCTGAGACAGAGCACAGCCAGTTCCCCTCAAGCAGGAGGAACCTGAGGCTGGGCCTGTGCCTCGTCTTCTCTGAACCTGGGGTTCAGTGTGTGGAAGGGCGGAGCAGCACTGGGCCTCCTCCCAGGAGGCCGCGCTGGGCAGGGTGATGGAGGTGGCCTGCGCGCCCGCCTTCCGAGGGGTCAGCATTCTGCTCTCTGCTCTGTTGCCTTCCAGACGACGCCTTCATCAATCCCCATCTGGCCAAGATCTTTGATCGGGTCAGGCAGAGCGCAGACTTCATGCCGCTGAAGCAGATGATGGTGAGGCCGGGGGCTTCTTGGCTGGGGCGTGGCAGTCCTGTGGGTGGGGGTGGGGACTCCCCAGCTGTGCTCACAGCCCCTCCCTGGCCTCTCTCTCCAGAAAACTCTCAACAACGACCTGGGCCCCAACTGGCGGGACAAGCTGGAGTACTTCGAGGAGCGGCCCTTCGCAGCCGCCTCCATCGGGCAGGTGCACCTGGCCCGCTTGAAGGGGGGCCGCGAGGTGGCCATGAAGATCCAGGTAGGCGCCCAGGGTGTGTGCGCACATCTTTGGGAGCTGCTCAGGGCAGAGCCGGGGCCTGCGCTGTGGGGGCCTCTGCACCCACAGCCCCCGTGTGTCCCCGCGCCCAGGGCGTAGTGCGTGTCTCATCGCTTCTGTCCCTAGCACCAGATCAGCGCTGGGTGCTGAGAAGTTATTTGCTGAGTGACTGGGAGGGAGAACAGCCTCCCAGCAAGCTTGGTTTGAGTGGGGTGGGGACAGGGGACAAGTGACTGTCTGCCTGGGGCCCTGAGCTGGAGGGGTGGGGCGGCTGTTTCTGCATGCAGGTAGGGGTGCGGTAGGTGGGGTAGAATAGGGTCATGGTGGGCCCGGGGGTTCCAGCAGCATCGTGGGGTCTTGGCTCTGCCCTGTGGAGGCGTGGGGTCTGGGAGGCTGACGGGCGGCAGGAGGGTGGGGGCCCGCAGGGCCGTGCTCCATGTGCCCGCTGCCCCTCTGCTCCCTGCAGTACCCTGGTGTGGCCCAGAGCATCAACAGTGACGTCAACAACCTCATGACTGTGCTGAACATGAGCAACATGCTTCCGGAAGGTCTGAGGCTGCTGCTGGGCAAGGGCAGGCGTGGGGGGTGGGGTGCGGACTCGGGGAGCCCCTGGCCACCCTGACACCCTCCTCCCCCACTCAGGCCTGTTCCCCGAGCACCTGATCGACGTGCTGCGGCGGGAGCTGGCCCTCGAGTGCGACTACCAGCGGGAGGCCGCTTGCGCCCGCAGGTTCCGGTGCGTCTGCAGCCTCGGGCCCTCGCCCACTGCTCCTGCTGCGGGGACAGAGGGGGTGGAAGCCCCTTCAGCTCTGAGGGGCGGAAGACCGTGGTTGGGGCCTGGGGCCGGAGCCCCTCGGCCTGGGGGGTCCAGCGCCTCGCTGCCCTGTGTCGGCCCCAGGGTGGGGGTGGAGGATCAGGGTGAGCAGGGTGTGACCTCTCGCTCCTGCCAGGGAGCTGCTGAAAGACCACCCCTTCTTCTACGTGCCCGAGATTGTGGACGAGCTCTGCAGCCCCCACGTGCTGACCACGGAGCTGGTGTCCGGCTTCCCCCTGGACCAGGCCGAGGGGCTGAGCCAGGAGACCCGAAACGAGGTGTGTCGCTTGGTGACCCTGGAGTCCCCAGCACTCCCTGTGGGGGCAGGGACAAGCGCGCTTCTTCGTCTCCCCATCCGGTGATACACCTGGAATCAAAGTTGGCTGTGGGCGGGAGGTGGGATGGGGTGGATGATGAGAGGAGAGCAGGGGTCAGACTTCCAGGTCCGGGTCTAGAGGGGGTCAGGCGGCCTGGCACGGTGTGACTGGACCCACCCGGCCCCCAGATCTGCTACAACATCCTGGTACTGTGCCTGCGGGAGCTGTTTGAGTTCCACTTCATGCAGACAGACCCCAACTGGTCCAACTTCTTCTATGACCCTGAGCTGCACAAGGTGAGCACCGGCTGGGGCTCCCACAGGGACCCTGAGCTCCGCTGGGTCAGGGCTCCGAGATCTGGGGGTCTCAGCCCCCCGCTGACCTGTCCCTCCACCCCACTGGGGCAAACCTTCCCTGGTATTACCGTCCCCAGGTGGCCCTTCTGGACTTCGGGGCAACTCGGGAATTTGACAGATCCTTCACTGACCTCTACATTCAGGTAGAGGGGAGGCGGGGGGCTGGCCTTCCGGTGCTCTTCTGGGGCTTGGAGGGAGGGTGGACTCCTGTCCTGATGTCTGTCTGTCCCTGGTGTTTGGTGAGAGTGGACGTCACAGCCGCCTCAGGCGCAGAGGAAAGTAAAAGCCACTCAGTCGTGTCCGATTTTGCGACGCCATGGACTGTAGCCCCCCAGGCTCCTCTGTCCATGGGATTCTCTGGGCAAGAATACTAGAGTGGGTAGCCATTCCCTTCCCCAGGGGATCTTCCCGACCCAGGGAGTGAACCCTGGTCTCCTGCACTGCAGGCAGATTCTTTACCATCTGAGCCACCAGGGAAGCCCAAGTGAAGGGTAAAAGTGGATGTGCTGGCATGTGGGGGTGGGGCGGGCACCAGCCCCCTGGACCCCCAGGATCTCCTCTCCACGTGCCACCCATGGTGCCCTCTGTCCAGATCATCAGGGCTGCTGCTAACCAGGACAGGGAGGCTGTGCTGAAGAAATCCATAGAGATGAAGTTCCTCACCGGCTACGAGGTCAAGGTGAGCTCTCTTGACTCTGGAGATGCACCAGACCTGCTGAGCCACATGCAGCCCCTGGGCCAGCCTTGGTGTTTGTGGGAAGGGTGGGGTGTGGACTGCTTTTCCTGTGACATCTGAAGGGCATCTCAGTGTGTAGGTGGATGCAATCAGAGCTGGTCAGGCAGGCCCTGCCCCCGCCGGTGGGCCGAGGCCCTTGGAATACCAGGGCTGCTTATGCAGCCCTTGTCCTGTGTCCCACCCCAGCCCATGGCGAGATCCCAGTCGTCGGGCTTGTCGCGGGCGCTCAGGGCCTGGGTGAGCAGGTGGGATGCAAAGCCCCCACTTCCTGTGGCCTCACTGGGGAAGGAGTGAGGGGCACCCTGGAAGAGATCTTAGTAGCCCCTTAAATGAAAGGGTGACCTTGGTGTCCTGTCACCAGATAGCAGCACTCTCCTCTCCCGACAGTGGGGAAGGGGTGCAGACACCCTGGTGGTCTCGGGTCTGCCACCTACGAGGACTCAGAGGCTCACCTCAGCTCAAGCCTGTGGCTCTTTCAGGACTGACAGGCGTTTTATAAAACCTCTGGATTTGAGTGCCCTCAGGCTGGGTCACACCTGGCATTCTGCCACAGACCTGCCAAGCTCCCTTTCTTTTTACCTGGAAGAAAGGCCTTTAGTGGTTTGAGTTCATGCCCCTGTTACCGTGATTCAATCTGGGTGAAGCACTCACTACCTGCCCTGCCCTCAGGGAGCGCTCAGTCTAGCCCCTGGGGGTGTGTGTGGGAGGAGCCCTGGGCTGGCAGGCTCTTCAGTCTCCGCTCCCTCTCCCTCCAGGCCATGGAAGACGCCCACTTGGATGCCATCCTCATCCTGGGGGAGGCCTTTGCCTCAGAGGAGCCCTTTGACTTCGGCACCCAGAGCACCACCGAGAAGATCCACAACCTGATCCCCATCATGCTGAAGCACCGGCTCGTCCCGCCGCCCGAGGAGACCTACTCCCTGCACAGGAAGATGGGTGGCTCCTTCCTCATCTGCTCCAAGCTGAAGGCACGGTTCCCCTGCAAGGCCATGTTCGAGGAGGCCTACAGCAACTACTGCAGGAGGCAGGCCGAGCAGCAGTAGCCAGACCCTCCGTCCTCGGTCCTCGAGGCGCTGAGACTAGTAGGAAGCTGGTGGTGCCTGTGCTACATTTAAACTTCGCCCAGTGGGAGAGGGTGGCCGGGCTGACGGGGGGATGCTGCTTGGAGCCCACTGCGCGTGCTTATACACGGTTTTATTGCTAAGTGGGTGTGGGGTGAGAGGAGCAAGGATGAAAATGCAGCCCCACTACTGTTTCTCAGAATCTGCTTATTGTTTAGTCATCCTCTGAAATAGCTTTCGATAAGACAATTTTATTTCCTCTTCCTTTTTGTAACAGGGGTTTTTTGCTAATGTGAATGTTAACCAGAAGATAAGAGTTCTTCCTTTGAATCCCTGCCACCAAAAACAAAACACCAAAACCAGAAAAGCCTTTTTGGATTTTATTGAGTGTGTAATATCAGTTTTGTGTGTGTGTGTGTTTCTAGAATGAGATTTGTATTTTCTGCCTTTTCCTGTCTGGCCTGGATCTAGAAGTGCTGAGTTGAGCAGTGCCAAAAGTACTCCTTTGCCAAGCCAGGCCCACCCCACACCTGCTGTCTGGCTCGTTGCTAGAGGCTTTCTTGAGAACCAGAAGTTTCCAGAGAACTGCCACCTCCTACGGGGAGGACAGGAGAGAGGGCCACACACGCTGTCTCTGGGCTCCAAGACTGGTGTGTGTGGGTCCTGCCTCCTGCCCCAGGGCCTTGATGTGCACATATCACCTGCTTGGACCCAAGGGGTCATTTCAGGCTGTGTTAATATTCGTACAATTCTTGTAATTGTCTGATTTACTTGTTGCAATAAAAAAAAAAAAATCCCAGCATCCTGGCATTAATTCTTTCACTTGCAAAGGCTTCTGAGCTGATGGTGATGATGAGCCCGAGGTCAGTGTCACACCCTTTCCTGCCTCCAGATGCTTCTGCAAGGTTTGGCCTTGTTCCCACCACGAGGCTCTTGGTACCTGAACCCAGAAGGCTTAGCCCATATTCATCATCAGAGAAAGATGGCAGAGTTGAGTAGGTGCAGTAGACTAGTCTTGCAAAGCTGAAAGTATTTCTTCACTGGTCCTTTACAGACACTTGCCAACCTCTGCACAACTCCTGCCTCTAAAGCATGGTTTCAAACAGTGAAGCAACAGATAACAGACAGAAATGTCCATTACATGTGAAATGGAAAGGGGAGGGGTCTCAGAATAATTACTTAGTTGCAGGCCAATTTAAGATCTCCTTTGTTAAGACCACCCAGGCCTTCCTGTGTGGCCTCAGCTGTGTTATTCTAACTCAAGCACAAGTTGTGGGATGTGTCTGCTGCTGCTCTGCAGTAAGAATATGGAAGGGCAAGCAGTCGCCACATTCAGTCAGCAGTGGCACGGGTCGGGAAGTCTGGCTGGGCGTGGGGGCGGTCCTCATGTGGTAGGCTCCCTTGTGGCAGGCGCACACAGCAGGGCGGCCCACAAACGCGCAGGCAGAGCCCGGCCCTGCAGACTGAGCACCAGGGAAGTTCTGACCAGAGAGGGGAGCTGAAAGCCTCAAGAGAGTCAAACACTTCTCACCTGAGCTATGGAAGGAGCTAAGAAAAGTCCTAGATTAACTCCCCATCCTTCCAGTGTAACGAGGAAGCTGGCTGAGGAGGGAGACAGGCAGAAATCGGGGTTCGAAGAGATGAAAAGAGTCAGTCACCTTTTCTCCATTCCTCAGACTTCTTCATCAGGGGAAAAAAGACAAAATACTCAATTCTAACAGTTCCCTGTTTTATTGCAATACATCAGAGTCTGGTTAATATTAAGTGATACCAACGTAAAATATCGGCGAGGAGTCTTGTTACATTTTTGACTGTCCCACCTTAAATATTTCTGTGCAAAAGAACCCACACCATTGTTTGGTAGCAGAGAATCTCTTATAAAGTTCCCTAAGACACTGAGGGGGTAAAACCAAATAAAGAGTGATCAGAGGCCAAAGCAGTTACCTTTTCCCCTTCCATACACACTTATTTGTCAGCATTATATTCTAAACAAAAAAATGATTACACCCAGGCCATGCAAAACTGTACAATAATATTACAATGAGAAAAAACCCTAAAAAATTTATAAAATAAATGATATTACACTATCAAATAAAAAGGCAGGTCATTTTGTTTTCATGAAATTTCAAGGCTGATTTGTTTTCATCCGTTTCCCCCCATAAATGAAATGGTTTGTGTGTGTGACGGTCGTCCCTGGGAAGGGAAGAGAGGAGCGCCCGGCCTGCCAACCAGCGCTGAGACTCGAGACAGAGCTCCAGCTGAAGCGAGGGCCCTTAGGAGCAGCCTCTGCAGAGAACGCTGGACTTGTCACACTGAAGTCATAACAAGGGCCCAATGAAATATCGTGCGGCTTGTCTAATGAATGCAGGGGCTGGGCCAGCGAGAGGAGGGGAGCGGGGGGCCCGGTCACTTCCCTATTGTGCCCAGCAGACTGGGGCAGTGGCGAAGCCTGGCCGCTGCTGAGAACACCCCTCCGTCCAGAGAGTGGATGCTGAGCTTGACAGCGCTCCACTGAGCTGGGAGACCACAGAGCTTGTGGCCAAAGGCCAGTAAACAGCCCTGTTCTACCTGGGGGGTCAGGGATGTCTGCCCACCTCTATCTACTCTGGCGTTTCTTTAACGATACCTGAGAGTCCATAGAAATGCAACTGGTCTTTCACAGAAGGAGATGCGGCCACTAAGAAACAAAACGACACGACTCTAACCATATGGAAGGCAGAGGGAGGCTGAGAACCAGCTGGGGAATGACAGATTGCTGCTGTAAACAAAATAGGGATTTCAGAGTCTTCCCTGAAGCTTGGGTACAAGCTCTGCTTGGAAAATTAAATAGATGGGCCCTTTTTAGTTGTGTTTCACAGCCTTAAAACTATGCTCCCTCAGAAAGAAGATTAAATCACTAAGTGTAGGTGTGTGTGCATGCACGTAAGGGGTGTGTGCACATATGTAAGGGGTGTGTGTGCACACACGTAACTAAAAAAGTTGCTTTAGCAATCATTTGACAAGGAGGAAGGCTTCTGTTTTTGGCAAAAAGAAATATATATATATGTGTGTGTGTATATGTATATATGTAATTTTATACACCCAAAGCACATAGCAAGATTAAAGTAGAATTCAAGAGTAGACAACAAATTGGCTGAACATAGATAGCACCAAATATCAACACATCTAGACTATGCCAGAAATGCCTCTTATTTTTTCTTTCTACTGAGAAATAAGTTCCTGCTTCCCCATACGTTTCTTTGAATGTCCTGCATGAAAACAAAAGGATGAATTCAGACAGCAACATCACATCTGTTCAGTAATCTTTGTTACTGACCCATTTCGGTGATCACTATGTTTTTTGTTTCTCTAGAATCCAATCCCCATCTTCCCAAATCATTCTTTTCAAGAAGCTTCTGACACTAACTGCTTCATATTGGAGAAGGGGGATAAACCCAGTTGAATGATCACTATCTTGGGAAAATATCCCCCAGATCACCACACCACCCTTGGCAGTGTTTCTCCCCCAAGTCTCCTCCTATTGGACACGAATCACATTTGGGACTGCTTTCCTGCTACTGTTAAGACCATTTCAGATTACTGGAGTATAATCTATTGGGTTAGTATTACACCTCCCAGTGAGCCCGACAGCCAGGACAAGCCCTTATCTGCCCTGCTTGGGGGGCTTCAGGGTATGACTCACTATACTGGTGTCCAGACTTCAGGTATGGTTATTTTGATCCTAAAAGCATCTGAAAGAAATAAGCACCTATAGGCAACAGAAACTTAGTTGTCAAAGCTATAAACTAATGGCTTAGTGTGGAGTGCAGTGAATCTCAGCTGGGTCTGCCTCCGCTCAGAGGAGAAAAGGGGGGCAGGAAGAGGCGAGGGGAAAGGAAACAGAGGGTGGGAGGGTCTGGAGGCCGGCGGGCCCCAGGCACTCAGCAGCTGGCTGGCAGCTTCCCTCTTCTGGGAAGTGCGAAACTTAAGGAGTGAGTGGAGTCACGGCAATGACCAGACTCAAGGTCTGACTCCTGAAATCGAAACGCACAAAGTACTTTCACGCAACACTTCTCCCCCAAAAGCAAAGGATTTAGAAGGTTAGAACTGTGCAGTGATTTATGCCCATCCCAAGTTAAACATAAATCTGAGCAAGCGCCAAGTTCAGGATGTTTAAATGCCAAGCCTGTTATTATTTTAAAATTCTCTACTGTAGTATTTCACAATATAATGCCCACACAGGACCCTTTCTTCCCTCCCTGAACCTCAGTAACCTGCTCCTGAGAGTGGCATCCTCGGAATAGTCCGGCTTCCTGTGGCCTGTGGTGGGAAGCGGAATAGCTGCGGCTGCTGTGTGTGTGTGCGGGTGTGGAGGTGGTGGTGGGCGGGTAAAATGACAGTGCTCACACACCAAGATCCAGACAAGCAATGGCAGGAACGCTCTTCCATTTTAGCTGAATTTTAAAGAAGAGAGCAGAAAATCTGTTGGTACTTCTCAGGGAAATTTAGATAAAAAGTAAAAGAGAGGCAGATTCTCTGTACGGCCATGAGATATTTTTATTTCTATCTTTCTCTACTCATGTGCTTAACTGGTGAAATGACTGGAGAAATAAATTCCTGGTTCTGCATCTCATTTCCTTATGGCAATTAAAACAGCAGGAATCCAAATGGAAATGGGGCTAACACACCATAGCTAGGAGGGAGGCAAAGCTTACTCGCTCAGGAAGGCCAAACTGGGCTGACTTCCTGTGTGCGGCAGGGATGAGCTGTCCGCTTCCCACTCCATCTGGGAAAGAGTATTTGGTTAAGGCTGTTCAAGTCCTTGCATTTGAGGTTTTACATTATTTGGTAATTAAACCCCTTTCCCAGGCTTATCTGAGGACACTCACACCCCACTCAAAACAGATCCCTCTCTGAAGAGAAGCTGGCTCAGCTGGGGGACACAGGCCTCACTGCAAGGGGCGGGGGAGGAGATCAGCCAAGGGAAAAAAGCACTCTGCTGA